CTGGCTTCGAGGTATTCATGTTGTGGATCACGCGAATAGTAAAACCCCAAGGCTGCGGCGCTAATCATCTGCTTCACGGATCAGCATCATATCATATCATTTGGCATCGCCCGCCAGCCTTGAGAACACAACCAATACAGTAGACATTCCTTCAGACTCCAAGACCTAACCCCTTTAGCTCTCTGACCATCGGTTGGCGAGGTGCAGTCTCCCGGGGCTTGTAAGAGGACATAACATCCATGCCACTTGTCAGGTCCTTCAGCAACCAACCATGTATATCACCACATTACCAGTGGATGGAAAAACCTCCATGCGTTCGAAGGGGAAGACAGGTTCTTTCGGGGGCCAATAAAAGTACCGAGATAGGATGATGGCGCGAGCCATCATCGCCCAGCTATTGCCATCGCGGAAGCAAGCAAATAGAGATCAATCAAGTCAGTCATGCCGGGAGCTTTTTATGACCCTACGTGTATCAGGATAGAACTAAAGATGAAATGACTGTCGATATACTGCTGTTCGCTCTGCTTCAGAAGTGGTCGAGATCTAAATGCCGACCATGTCCAATACTTTCGCTGCGTTCTAATTCCGGAGCCCCATGACATCGACATCACGATAAACCGAACCGAAACTTGGCAACGATGCGTGTCCCGAGCATGCCTTCGGCAGTTTAGGACGACGAGTCAAGGCCGTCAATGCCCCAGAATTGCTCAGCATTGAAAGTATCGGCGGAAACAGGCTTCCAGGGATCGTTGAAAGCAGAGAAGAGGAAAAAGGTCGCCAGGATGGTCTGAAAAGGCGGCCCTGATTGACTCGATGGCGATGCTCTGCTGGCTGCGGCCAGGAACCGCAGCCCGGTTAACAGTTCCCTGCCACGGCCATTCCAGTCTCACTGACAACCATGCGCGTGGATGGATCGGCCAGCTTTCGACTGCACCTCAAAGACCATGGCGGTAAATGAAAGAGCTTGCTTCATCGGCCGGAATTGTTTCCGTCGAAGAACGGATGGACATTCATTGCGCAGTAATCAGACTCGTCACACAACTCAGGATTGTCCCGGACAGCAATGAAGGTGTCCACAGTGACGACAGGGCCTTCATAACCGGCATCCCTGAGAAGCGAGCGAGTTTGACTCATAGCCGAGACCACCTGGGAGGGAGTGGCAGCCTTTTTGTTCACAAGCTCGTTGCCAACGCTGACAGTATCGACGATCGACCATTCTTCACCGACGGCTTCAACAATGGACGCGACTTGCTGATCGATGCCTGCAAGCTCAAAAATGCCAAGGAAGAGCTTGAGACCAGCTTTTTTAGCAGCCGGGACAACCTTGGCCACCTGCTCACAGTCGATTCCGTAAATGCGGACCATCGAGTACTTTCCTGTGAAAGTGACAAAGTCATCATGGACCTGGTTGGCTGACTTGCAGTCACCCGATGCAGTGTACGGTGCGTAGGCAATGCCCGGGAGACTGCTCGCAGCCGAGCTGGACCCGGTTTTGGAACTGTCTGTGGCAGCAGGAACGTCCGTTTTGAGAGTCGAGCTGGCGTTGGGTGTCGAATCCGCAGATTCAAGAGTGATGACTTGAGTCTCGGCAGGCACAAACAGGACGTCTCTCGTGGCGGTGTGCTGACCAGAGCCGTCCTTGCCTTTGTAGACCACAACCTTGGGTACTACGGTCGGAGATGAAACAGAAGTGTCCACGACTGTCAACAATTGTTCCGCACGGCGCTCAGCATGAAGCAACCGATGCCGGTAGTTGCCTATAAGTTCGGTTAGGGAAGTCAACAGACAGACGATTTCGATGTGTTCCTACCAGTCGGCTTCGCTTGACAAACAGCCAGCAGGCCAAGTGTCACAGCGGCAGGAAGAGAAAACATGCCAGCCCTCATGATGAAGTGGAAAATGAGCGCAAAGGCTCTAAGATTGGTTAAGGAGTGAGGGTGCTTGGCCGTACCGCGACTTCCACGAAGGATAAGTTAGCACGTTCCGTCATGGCAGGTTCCTCAACCACAGAACCAAGTCTGGGACGGACATACCGGCTGAACAAGCAGAGAGTAATGAGAGAAGACTACAACAGTGTCCAGGCAGGACAATCGCGCAAGAAGGAGACAGGAGAAAAGAAGGTAGAGCGTATGCTGCGGCGCAACGATTGCCGGGGTGCAAGGAAGAAATAGTACGACCGCGACACGCATACTACATACCACGAGCAGCATTGGCTGCTGAATGTAGCCAAGAACCCCCAAAACATTGAGAACACGGACAGAAATGAGGGAGAGGGGGAGGGGGCGGGACAAGTCGCGACTGGAATGCAGTGCATGCCAGACTTCGCTACCCCTCTACACCCCCTCTCTCTCTTGACGGTTTGCCATCGCAAGGGATACTCGCCAATTGGTCTTGGATCAACATCTTCGCTTCACACCTCCTGGAGTTCGCAACCGACAAGCATCTGAAAGTGCATTTGTGATAGCTGTTGATACATACCGAATTAAGATTAAATTGTCGATCCTGAAGAATCAGCTAACTTACCCTCACCTGCCATGTCTCAACAGGCCATGAGGATAACCTCTTCTGCGATTCGCATTCCATTGTACACACCTGTGCCTCCAAAGCCAGCTGGGAATCACACAGCCTGAAACCGAATGTTTTACAGCGTGTTGCTCCATCACGCGCTTCGAATGCTGGCCTTTCGGGTCATAACTTTTGTAATGGCATGTCGGGATCGTTACCCCCGCCTTCTCGATATCCTTCTTCGACAGGCCCGACGTCACGCAAATCTTGAGGGCCGGCTGAACCCTGCCACCCGTCGTCACGGGGTCCCAATGCTGTTTAGCAGTGGCGTCGTCTTGAGTCTAGTGATAAGAACCCCGTTGGCTAGAGCCTGCATTGCCCAGAACCGTTAGCAAATCCACTCGTAATAACGAGGACATGAAATCGAACAGGAGTGTTATACCTCATCAACACAATCCTGCAAGAGACGCTCTTGCTCCACCATGGAAAGATTGCGGGCTTCAACTACATCACCCTTCAGCACCAGTAGCATGATGGGATTCTCGGGAACGCTGGTGCACGTCACCCAGTCGCTGCGGGGGTCGAGTTGCGCCCGCATCGCCCGAATGTTATCGCGACACTGCGTCAGTATGTCGGGGTTAGATTGGAGCACGCTAACCGTCTCGCTAGCTGTAACAGCCAGCATCGCGGGAAGAGCTGCCGAGAATGTGTAGGATGCTGCGGATATGCGCTGATGCTCAACCACATCTTTAGCCCCGGCGCAAAAGCCGCCGCCGGCGCAGAGAGGTCCGGCCAGAGACCCAATGATCATGTCTACCTGCGTAGGATCAACGTTCTGCGCCTCCGTCAAGCCTCGTCCAGTTCGACCCAATGTGCCAAAGGACCATGTTTCGTCGAGGATGATGCGGAACTTGTACTTTTCTTTGAGTTCGACGAGCTTCGGCAGGTCAATGCTGTCACCTGTGGTCTCGAAGAGGCCCTCGGCGACAATGAATCGCCTTGTAAGTCTCTTGCCGGCCTGTTCTTTGACAACCTTTTGCATCACGCGCTCAAGGTCGTCCATGTCGCCATGCTGGTACCACTTGATGCTGCTCCTGGAAATCTCCAGACCTTTCCGGATAGAGTAATTTACGGCCCGATCAGCGACGATAATGTCGCCGCGCTTACAAAAAGCTGGGATGACGCTTGAGATTGTAGAGAAAGCCTGCGCGTACACGATACAACTCTCTGTACCAAGGTACGCTGCAATGTCTGCCTCTGTCTTCATGTGCACATCCTGTGTTCCGTAGAATTGGGGGGGACCGCAAGGTCCTACCCCATATGTTCGCAGTGTTTGAATTGCTTTCTCTTTGATCTGTTCGTTGGCATTGAAGTTGTAGAAATTGTACGTCGCAAGATTTGTCACGGTCCGCCCATTCCCGAGCTTCGATTTAGGTCCAGTCGGGCTAGACGATCGTCAGTTAATAGCTGAATGGTTTCTCTCAATACTTGATCTGGTCAAATCTTACCCGACGATGATGGGAAGCTTCTCAGCCTCCATCTCTTCAAAGGCAGTCTGAGCACCCACAAGAGGCTCAGGTGTCCAATCTTCCACCAACTCGTCGATTTCCTAGTCCCGTATTAGCGAACAAGGTAAGTTGCCTCAGATCACAACCTCAGGGGTCGTACGTCGTCGCGAAGCTTGACATAATTCTGTTTCTGGGTCGAGTAGGAAGGCGACAGAAGATAGCGGATGAAGAAGATGACGAGGACCAATTCCAGAGCGGACCGAATAGGATCATTTTGATAGCTAGACTGCACGTAGCGCACCAGGACCGCTGAGCCAGGGACTTTCTGAAAGCTCGTAGCGGCGTGTCGCCACCAAGAAGCCACCAGGGTCCGGATTTCGTCGGGATCCATCGTAAAGTTGACGTATCCTTCCTTTGACGACGGAAAACGTTGGCTGAAACAGGATATCTCGCACGAGGGGCTGTCGTTAGACTGGTGTCTGATTTTCAGTGGTTGAAGGGGCTTTGGGAAAAGGTACCCTCCATGCATGTGAAGGATATACTCCGTAACAGGGGAGCGGCGCTAGGTGGGTCTCTATGGTAGGTAGGGCAAGCAACCCAATATGACAGACGTGGGATGTGACAGAGGAAAAGCAGCAGACGCGTACAAGAGAAAGGGAGACCCACAATGCTGCGCCTTATACCTCGGGTGCCTAAATTTAGCGTCAGTACTTCGTATGATCATATTCGAGTAGCAGAGCATAAAATATCGCTCATTGAATCAGGGCATATAACGAACTGCATATCTAGTGTCCCCTACATTACCTATGTTTCACAGATATGCATGGCCTCGATTATGTATTGAGCTGGGCACTTGCTGAGATGTACATTAAGCTTTTTTAGGCAGGCTGTGACCATTCTATGTACTAGGCAGGGCTCCGGCTGTATCACCTATGCGCTCCACAGACACAATAAGCACCGAGGACATAAGAGTTTTCAGACGATCTGACCTGGCAAGTTCATACTATACACAATTCTAAGGCCCAACTTCCCATTACCGCGTGAGACAAGACTATTGCTGCATAAAGAAACAAAATGCCCAACAGGGGGCTCGCATCCGCCTACCCTGTTCCCCGTACGTCGACATGTCAAGTGCTCCAATCTGTCGCCATGAGTGAAATGAATCTTAGGGGACACACTACACAAGCCTTGCTGGTTGACTTATAGAAGACGGACCATCCTGTCGTTGGCGCCCCTTGTCGCCCGAGCGTTGCCGCCGAGCGAGAACGTGGAAATTGTCAGGGCGACTCCGGTGTAGTCGTCGCCCTTGGGGCCCGTCTCGGTCTCATTTCGTGTGTCATCATGGTCAAGCCCGTTCGGCTGGACCAGTTTCATGCCACTGACCAGGTTTCCAAACTGCTTTTCAGGGTCCAGGACATCCAGATTGCCGACAACAACGGGTCCAGCGATCAAAGCCACAAAGACGACAAACATGACAAAGTAGAGCACAGCATAGCGGAAAACACGCTTGCGCCTAAGCTTTGATTGCTTCATCGAGTAGATGGGCGGACGGATTTGGCGGCTTGATAAATATTAGTCTTGTGTTGCGTGAAGGAGTGATTGCAACGTACCTGGGCCGCAGCCAAAACAGCATAATAGAATGAAGCATATCGATTTTCGGAATCAGGATCAAGGGCAACATGAAGAATAGCAGTGTGTGGCCGAGCACGAAATCGGCCGCAAACATGCTCAGCTCAGTGATTTTGCAGAGGAATTCGCGGGCCGGTTGGGAAACCGAGTGCCAACCCATGGAATACCATTTTCCTGTCCAGAATGCGATGTTAGACTGGTCAGTCTTGATCTCGCGCGTCAATGTCAACGAGACAATGAGCTTGAAGATGAACCGCTGGATAGCTACAACGGCGATCATTCCGCACAGAGTTCTAGCAAAGTTGAAGCTCTCCAGCACGAACAAGACTTCGAAGAAAACCAGAAGCATGATGACTGCGATTGCGTGAGCAATAGCGGCTAGAACGCTGCCGAACTTCTTGCAGCACATGCTGAGAAGAGGACCCATGAAACATGCCATGCAGAAGAATACAAGCAGCGCGCCCGCATTAATGGCAAGTGGCGCCAAAGCGATGACGCCGATCCTGATCAATGAGCTCGTCGGTGCGATTGTGACGTTAGGATTGTTATCCTCGTTTACTCCAGTTTGCGCGTTGATGTAGAGAAACGGTACAACCGTCACAAGAACCAGGACGAACGGCCAGGCAATTTCGCCCCAGAAGAGGTTCGCGATTGCGGCGCGAGGCACATCGGCGGACATTTTGCCGGATGGGTCGCCGAGTGCCTTGCGCTTATAACCAGTAACGCGCGTCCTGGAAAGTCGGCAGAAAGCAATCCACGAGGATGCGTGAGACCGTGAATTACCGCGCGAGAGCCAGCGGAGGAAGTCGCGATAGTCGATGAAGAAATCGCTCCAAGCGAACTGGTGAGGGTTATAGAGGAAGGGAGAGATGACCAACGCCATCAGGGTGATCCAGAAATAGGTCAAAGCCGCCTGCCAGATGGTGACCGTGGCGAATAGGAGCATCATGAGGAGTCGAGAGCCAAAGTAGATGGAAGGGCCGGCGAAGCGGGAATAGAGAACACCAAATGGAATGCGAGCGGTGGCAAACCCACGACCAGTACCGATGTACCCGAGCGCCGCCAAACGACAGATCTTGTTGGACCGAATTGGCGTAAATTTGGCAAACGAAGACCTCGAAGAACGGCGAGAGCGAGCAAATTTGCTTTGACAGACGTTTGGCAGCCCTCCAAAATCCTCGTTCCGTAAGCTCTTGCACGAATAGGGGGACAAAAGACAAGAAAATGACGAAAATAATCGACAAAATACTGCGGTAGACCCAGTCCTGAATCGCGTCCGTGTTGGCGCAGCCAGTAGGAAAAAGAGCGTCGGTGGGAGGAACGTTTCGGTTGTAATTGCAGGGAATGGTTTCGTGGCGAAGGGCGCCCAAGTTGAGCAGGCAGATCATGAACATCTGAATGGACAACATGATGAACATGTTGTTGATGTGAAATCCAGCGTGGGCGTAGTAGAAGGACAAGAACCTGTCAAGAGGGAGTTGTGTACCAAGATAATAATACTCTCGCGAAAGCATTTGTTCTCCCATACCGGTACCGATCTTGGTGACGAAGTTCAGAATCGATCCGAAACCCAGATCACGACCCTTGCCGCACTGGTAGTATTCGCAGTGTTTGATACGACCACCACGAATGACAGCTTGCATACCAGCGTAGATATCCTCGTTCAGATGTAGACCCTTCTGAGCTTTGGAAACTCCACCTCGGGTGGTCATGAAGATACCATTGAGGAAATCGGGGTGCCCATAGTGTAGCTTGCCACCAATTTCAGCCAAAGTACGTGCAAATAGCGTGCCGAACGTCTGCTCCTTGCCAGCGGCAACATCACCAAGGATGCCGATGTTCTCTGAGAAAATATACTCGCGAGCGCCCAGGATAGCAACAGGAGAGAATGCTTTGCTCTTGACGCCAGGGGTGTAGGGCGAGGCCGTATCGGTCTTCATCTCCTCGAATTCGGCTAGGACGCTGCGAATCTTGAGACACTCCTCAAGGTAGTTGTCTTGGTTGGCGTCAATCAGCTGGATGTATTCGCCGCGATAGAAGATGATGGAGTGGTTCTGGTTGTCTGATTTGCCGTCTCCGAGGACAGGGTTGCCAGAAAGCTGAATACGGAACTTGGGTCTTCTCATGCCATTCTCCATGATTTCGGAATGTCCGTCAATCAAAGCGGAGTAGAGGCGGGGCTCTTCACCCTCCGCAACGGGCAATTCTTCGTCCAGGTAAGCAATTTGCAGGTCAGGGTAGGCGCGGAGGAGGAATTCAGTATTCTCCATCTCCTCCTTCTTGAACTTTGCGTAACGCTGCATGGAGACGATGATTTTGAACTTGCGGCGCGCCATGCGCTCAAGCTCACGCTCGAGCTTGTCAGAGTTGCCACCGAACATCTGAACCACTTCGGGGTTCTCAACACGATACAAAAGCTTGATGGCGCGGCTGTAGTTCATGAAACCAGAAATCGTGCGGTACAGTGTTTGAGAGCGAAGCGATGCCCAAATACGAGTGCGGAGTGTGTATTCAGGGGCAGATGATTTGAAGCCGATGCAGTAGAAGGGCAAGTCGTCAATCTTGCTCTTGGCGGCATCCTTCTCTGGCTTCTCGAGCTCGCCGTTGAATTGAGAGGTTTCATCGGCGAGGATTTTGGTGTCTTTGACAAAGCAGTCCCACTCGTGAGGATGAAGCTGCTTGAGGTATTCGAGCAGAGTAACACGGGAGTACGGCTCATCCTCCCGAATGATCTCGCGAAGTGAGAGCAAAATCTTCTCGCTATAGTGGGGGATGAGAACGGAGAATGTCGGCATGTTATCCACAGGCAGAGGCTCTGGAATCGGGGTGGAAAGCGACTGGGCGAAGAAAGACAGGCGACGTTCAGCCTCGCTATCAGCGGGGAAGAATTCAGTGCTGAAAGACTTGTGCCTCCTGTGAGACGAAGAACGTAGGGGCTCGAAGGGTTCGCTTGCCCTCCTGTTCGGAAGGGACCTGGTGGTATAGCAACTTCTGAACGTGGTCGATAGCAAGCAGGTGCTCCCGGTACATGGAGATGACGATGGCATTCCAGACCTGGGAGATCAGGACCTTGGGCTTGTACTTGATCTCCATGTCCGTGGTGGCCAGTACCTTCGAGTAGATGCGCTTAGGAAGGCGGGAGAAAATATTCCTCCAAGGCGTCCAAATCGAAGAACCGATGTAGAATGATCGAGCGATGGAAAACAGGGTGTTCATCAACACGTACCACAGATAGGTGTCCAAGAAGAAGAAAATAACATCAGTGAATGCCATCAAGCCCAGCAGAATGATACCCTGCTGCTTGCAGAGGACATCGGCCATGCCAGTGCCGAACAGGGAATCGCCCTGGCACTTGAGCTTCATGATGAAAAGGTATTTGATCGGATCCCTGAACGACAGGGCCAGATAGGCATATGACACGCCAAGTTTGACGCCAAAAATAGCGGCCCAGAGGCCGTAGGACATTGCGAGAGCATTGCCCTTGAGGCGAGGGTAGCTTGCGGTGAAGGTTTGGCTGGCCACGTACTTCCGGGAGTTCTTGGTCAGATAGCTGCCGAACAGGCCTCCCAGCGGCATAACGGCGAAAAAGAGGAAAGTGAAGACGGCAACCAAGAATTGGACGATGCCCAGAATTTTGGCAATCTTTTCCTGTGCAGCTGTGGCGACGAACAAGATGTAGACACTCGGACCAATGTTGATGGCGAAGATCAAAATCAGGAAGAGTAGTCGCTTGGTCAGATGCTGCGCTCCAGCCCAGCGCGAGGGACGTATTCCCATTCAGCAAGTGTGGCGAAAATTTGGATCAGGGAGGCAATGCTGCCACCTAGAGCGACAACAGACCAGTACTTGGAAGCAACAGGGTCTTGGTCGACTTGTTGTTCGTAAGATGGTCCGATGATCAGACTTGGTGCGTTGAAAGAGGTGTAGAACCAGAACATGGTAAGATGAATGATCCAGATGCGGTTGAAATTAACAAGCAAATGGAACCATGACCTGGACTCCTTGTATGTCTTGAAGAAGCATTTGGGCCAGTTGATCTCTGCGAACTTGAGATAGCGTTCGGCAGGGGCGAGGTCAACCAAGCGGGACTTGTCGCCAAGGACAATGCGCTCGATGCCCTCGGGATACCAGAATAATTGGTTGCAATCATCGTAGCCAATAATTTGATGGTGATCACGTTCCCGGCGCACGTAAACGCCATCCGAGATCTCGTAGCCCTGCTCCCTGCAATACTGATATAGAGGCGTGATGACATTGTTCAGGAAGGTGAACTCTTCAACAGGTTCAACCAGGTTCTGGCAAGCCGGAGAGTTGAGATAGTCATCCGCACACTTGAAGATGAAGCAGAGACATTCAGGCATGAAGCGAACCTGGTTCGCCTCGCCCCAACACAGCAGATACAAGGCGATCTGGCGGGTGCGATCGTGTTGTGACATGCGGTTCATGCGGGTCTTCCAGCGGTACTCAGCAGCCTCGAGGCTGTCGTCATTTTCAAGATCGGCCAGCGCCTCATCCTCGGTCTGGTCCTTGCTCTTCTTATTCTTCTTGTTCTTACGCTTGAGACCCTTGCCCTTTACGTTGGCGAAACCGACAGCGTCGTCGAGGTCGAGGTGAGCGGCAAAGTACCACTTGCGGTAGTTGGCGTTGTCTCCGCCGATATAGTCTGCGTGAAGGGACAGGAGCGCTTGGTTGGGGGTCATGCGAGAAGCACGCGAATCTAGCAAAGTCATGAGGTGATCGTACATGTTGCGCATGCTGTCACGCTGGAAACCAAACTTGGCGGTCAGATCCAGAAAGATATCCTCAACCTCTTCCTTGGAGAGCGGGATCTGTGCATCCGAAGTCCAAGCAGGATACGGCTCGCGAGATCGCTGCCCAGCAGGAAGGGCGTTGCTGTAGTCCATGCCGTAGTTGGGAGTTGAGGCGCCAGAAGAGCGATTGCCGCCGTACGAGATCTGAGATGAGGGAGGCCTGTACCCGCGGCCGCCCGAGGGATCAGCGCCGTAGCTGTTGGAGCGCTCATCCCCACGACCGTAGTAGTCCATATCGGTGGCTCGAGCCATGTCGGACCTCATTGTGAAGTCGCTGAAGGTTTCAGAGTCCTCTTCAGAACCCTGACGTCGGCCACCTGAGCCGTAGCCCTGGTTGTAGTCCTGGTCGTAGTACGCCCCTTGTCCCTGCTGGCCATTGTGTCCATTGTAGTAGTCATCCTGGTACTGGTCCTGGCCGTCGTAGTAACCGCCATCTTGCTGATAGGGATTGTTGGGGTCAGCATTGTAATAGCCCCTGAGCAATGTTAGCGTGGCACTCTGGGAATTCGCGATGGATCAACGCAAGGGCGTCTGATTAGAACATACGATTCGTCGTAGTACCCATCGTTGCCCTGTTGGCCACCACGAGCGTCGTAGCCTTGGTTGTCGTAATAGTACTGGTCGTTATTGTCCTGATAGTACCCATCGTTTGCAGTGCTACCTTGCTGGTTTCCCTGTTGACCACGCTGCTGGCCGTAGCCGTCATCGTAGTCCTGGTGGCCACCGGCTGGATAGCCCGACATGATGGCGAAGACTCCTCAGCTGCTGTCGGATTCGACACGAAGCGTGGATGCAGTGGCGCCGGAAGTCACGGAAGCGCGGCAGGTCGGCTGGGAAATGTGTCTTTGAGTTTTGATAAAGAAGATTCTCGTGATTTTGTTTGGCTGGTCGTTCTGGTCGAACGAGCGAGGCGTCCGGTGCTTACTGCTGAGTCCGGGGCGATGCGGTCGCTGCTCCTCAACGGGTCAAACGAGTGGCGATGGGAGCGAGAGACTAGGCTTGAGACTGCCTGTGTATGCTCATCTGGCGACGAACCGAGACGAGGCAATTAAAAGAGAGAGAGGCAGCAGGAAAGAATTGACAGACAATCAACGCGGTTGATGGTCGTGCAGCATCCAATGCAAGATGCTCCAGGTGGGTAAGAAGGAAAGGGGGGTTGCGGATGAAGATGGAAATGCGAATCCAGACAATCGTACTGGAAAAGAGGAAAGGATCGAGGTTGGGAGGCGCGAGGCAGGGGGTGGCACGGGCAAAGGGGGCACTCGGCGCGCTAGAAAGAATGATGGTGGGCCAGTGACGATGGAGTGCTTGTACCGTACTGTGTGAGGGATTCCATCTGCCAAGACCTGGTATGAGGTTCGCTCAGGAGAGGTAGGTAGCGAGCAGCAGAACTTGCCAGCCGATCCTGTATCTCCTTGCAATGCCTGTGGAAAACAGTGCAATGGATTACAGATCACTGTGTTATGTGTAGAGCACACCCCTGAGCATCGTGATGCTCCTCAAGACCACTGCAACTATGTTGAAACTTTGCTCGCTATATCACAGTGCGTTCTACCGTGCCTTAGCCAGGGGCATCAGCAACACATGGCATTCGGGTTTTTGTGCACACCTACTCGTCTGAGGTGACTAATTCGTTCATCGCACTGTTTCCTGCCCCTGCCGGACTGTTACCCGTTGAGCCCACTCTGTCTCAAACTCCGCTGTACGGGTCCACACAGTGCGCTGCCAGCGTCTTGTGTCAACAGTACCTCCTTAGTGGGTCCTTCATGTTGAGGGCACGATCTGCCGGTAGACCTTATCTCCGGCCAACATTGTGCGCATCAAGATCACGGCTCCTGCGTAGTCTTGATGAAGAGGGAACAGCATTGCTAGAGAGAAAGAGCGATGAGGTTTTCTGGCTCAGTTCATGCGCAATCGTCCTTGGCTTCTGGCTCGCACACCAATCGATCTTCAACATACCGTGCAGTGGTGGGTAATCCGCGGAATGGTACTTTAAATGTGTGTACACACCGTATCGCCATCGCGGCCTACACCATTAGCGAATAGGAGCTTCGTGTAAACATGGTCCAGTTGTACCTTGCTGCCACCAACAACATTGCAAATGCAGGGGGCATCCAGCCTGTTGCCCAAACCTGGAAGGATTCGGCGGGCTGGCCGGTAATGTAGGTCCAAAGCGCGATGTGATTGGCATGTCAGTGATGGGAGCCTCCGCTGTTCCATTCTAAATACAGTGCACCGGGGCAGGGGCAGGGCGACGCGGCATCACTGGCCTGGTCATTTTCTTCGCACTAGTGCTGCCTGTTCAGCTCTTCAGTCGTCATCATTGTGTAGGCCGAACTGACATGCCCATCAATGACCGAAT